TGATAATTTACGTACTGGGGTATTTTTTTTATTTTTTGAAAAGTTGGGATATTTTTTTAGATATGGCAAAAGTTGGGGCATTTTTTTATTCTCCCTAGATATAATATCTCTAATCCAATTTCAGTACATTTATGACTTAGTCAGTACTGATTTAGTTTATTTGATGGTTTCTGTACTCGGATAGGTTGATTGAAGATATTATGATATTATCTTCAAATGATATTCACGACATCGGGGAATCAAAATAGGACTCTTTTTTTTATAGCTCAATGATGCCAATTTTTGATCCACTTTTCTGAAGTTATATATATTAGTTTAGTATCAAAAACATGAGTCTTATGGTGCGTATATAACCATCGCTCAACAGTTTGGACAATTTAAAAATGAAATTTACAAATGGATTTTGATGTAAGGCTGAAACCTATAATTAACGCTTAACATAATAGAAATCATTTATCACATATATCCATATTGATCACACACCCCACAAAGTAAATTGCAAATACAGCATTTTTATTGGCTTAAAGACATGTCTTCTCTTCATCGAGGTCATTCATCTCATTAGCTAAGATATGATGGTGTGGTTGCAAAGGCGAGCTCCGTATTAACTAACAGAAGTAAGTAGGATTATATATGTGGGTGATAGGAAACACTTAGAGAATGACGGGGAGGTCAGCAACAACTCAAAGGTCAACACCTGTTGGAAAACGGATCCGGATACGATTATCCGGATGGCCGTTGGCAGTTGAAATGGCCGTTGGCGGTTGAAAGGATGTTGGTGGTTGAAATGGCCTTAAAAGTCGCGGGGGTTTCTCTGGGCCTCAAGGGGGGTATCGGTAGGTGCATATTCTAGGAGATAGGTGCAGGGAGAATGCCTTGGTTCTAATAGATCACTTTCTCTTTTACCATCCAAATTCCAACAGGGTTATGAGCCCAAGAGAGTCGCGCTAGGGGAATAACGATACAACGCCAAGGAACAATGGATAAACAACGCGATGACATGCTGGTGCTCTTGGACAAGGCCGATGGCCAGTGGTCCAGCAGCTTTCCTCCAGTTCGCGACGGCGAAGAGATCGATTGGCGTCAGCGCAAGTGGCTTCTGCGGACGACGTTCAAGGAGTATGGGATCCTCGACATCGCGGAGGGCAGGCTTTAGAGAGACCAACTCAGCACTGCGAAAGGGAAGATAGCTTTTGATCGCCAGCAGTGCAAGATCCAGCGTATGATTGCGTCGGTGATACCGTCACACCGCCTGCAGCAGGTCGACCACTTAGAGACCGGCACTGAGATGTGGGCGGGGGTGAAGAGATCTAC